ATATGAATATTAATAATAATGATTAATAAAATGAATATTTATATTAAGCTACTAATTTACAATTATATACAAAATTGCATTTTATCAGCAATGATATTACAATTTGTAGGTTTTTATTACACACTTAACGGTGTTGTGTGTTTTTAAGTACATTATAATAATTAAATTGTTCTGATTTGAATTTTAATTGAATATCAGTCAAATCCAAATCCATTCATTGCTGCCGCGATGAACGAACTTTCTACAATAAAACCCGATATTCCAGTCTATGCGTAAGCCGAGTACAAAATATGTTAATTTATTTAATTTATACATTAAAGCAAAGACAAATATTGCATATTAAATATTCATTATTGGGTTTCGAGTTTTGTGTTGTTAAGGTGATCGATCATTCACCTTTAAAATCGAGAGTAAATAATAAGTAAATAGGCTTAACTTGACTTATCAGATTTAGGAGCCGGACAAATTCGCGTAATATACGTAGACTTATAATTTTTCGAAGCAACTGGTATTACCTGACTGAACATAGAAACAGCTATTGTGCACATATATGATCACGATTTGATCATCTATAAAATTAAAAGCTCAATTAAACTTAATATCTTGATTTTGATTCCTTATTGTTCGATTGCCGCCCATTGTATGATGCTGATTCGCAACTGCTACTTCTGCTGTTGTTGTTGCTTTATAGGTCGGTGAAGCGATTACTCACTTTAATTGCGCACATTTGACTTAATTTTTATTTTTTTTTTTTGTTTTTTGTTTTTTTTTTGTGCATTATTGCTTTGTAAATACACTCACACACACATACTCATGAATTCGCAGCTGATTGTAGACTGCAAGCAAGGCAAAACCACGGCGATATTATTGTACAATATAACAGTGAAAGAGTAAGAAGTAGCAAAAGCAGAAGCAGAAGAAAGAGAAAAAGTAAACGTTTTGCAATTGCGCTTATCTTTTGTGAAATATCAATTGCAATTTGCAACAAACACAGCAACTGTGCCAAGTGCTCGCCCGTCAGACGACAGTGGTGGGCGAGAGACAAGCGGTGAACGAAGCGGACGAGGCGTGCGCTGCGTTGTCGTCACGTTTTGTGAAATTACGCGAAGCGAACAGCGCGCGCGCTATTCAAGCCGAAGCAGAAGCAGAAGCAACAGAGAACAGAAWATGCATGCAGCAGTAAAAGCAACAACTACAGCCAGAAAGGCATAATCAAACAAATCTACTAAAGCCATAAACTCTCTTGCGCTTGCTCTCATTCACGTTCGCTCCCTTATTCTCTCTCTCTCAATCACGGACTCACTGTACTCTTTGCTTATAGCGCGTGCCTTGCCTTGCATTTATTTCGATTGTATGCACTACTTGCACATATACATACAAATGTATCGTGAATGTATTTATGAATGTATAGGTAAATCTTTTCAATTCCCACACCGAAAAAAAAAAGCTTCCCCTGTTTCTTCACTTACCGTTACAAGCAACTGAAGAGCCATTACCGGGCACCCCTTGCACTACAGCTGCCACACTTCCTCCGCCAACAGCAGCTGCGCCAACCGCTGTAGCAGCTCCAGTGCCCACTCCTGCCGTGGGTGGCGCTGCGCCCGCTGCTGCAGCAGCTGCCATGTGCGGACTGCTTTTCACAAGCCAATTGGCCAGATGACGTTGACGCTCGAATTCAATATTAGTGCGTTGCATTTTAGCTTCTGTTTGTGTGTGTGTGTTTATTATTATTGTTTTTTTTTTTTTTTTTTTTTTTGTCGATGCAACGTATAATTCCTCAATTATTGTTAGCGTTTACGTCGACTGCGCCGACAGCAGCGACGCGTTGCCGTCGGTTATCTACTACCGTACGCGTTAACACGTCTCGCGTTGTCAACTGTCGAAAGCTTACTGACGCAAAGCTGAGTAACGTAACTGCAGATCGCCCACCACGCTCACAGCAGACTCTTGCTGTCGCTGCTGCTGCTGCTGTTGCTGTTGCTGCTTCTGTAACGAGTCATTGAGAGAAAAAATTGAGAGAAAAGTTTACATAAGTGAGCGCTCAAATAAATAACAAAAACAACAATGTCGAAATGTGCAAAGCACAAAAGTGAATAAAAAGATGTTGATAATGAATGAGAGAGCGAGTGAGCTGGCGAGCAAGCGAACGAGTTGTGTGTGCTACCAGTATATATGCGTATATGTATAAATGTATTTATATACATGTGTATGCGCTGTGTGTATATACATATATACATACATACATACATATGTGTGTACGTGTTGTGCATAAATTAAAATTGGCCTGCGTAACACTGGCAACGATGACGACGTTATCACCCAGCTGCGCTTGAAATTCTCTCTTTTTCTCTGTCTCTCTCTCCTTACTCTCTATATATATGTATATATATCTTCTCTTAGCTCCTGCTTTGTTGTGCTGTCACAGCTTGTTCAATGTCGCCCCGCACCTTAATTGTTATCACTGTGCGCGCTCTCTCTTCTGCCGCTACTACATCTATAGCATCCACAAACAATCCGCTTGGACTAGTCACAACGTCTAGCAGCGCAACGACCGCTGCGCGTCATCTTAAAAAAAAAAAAATCGACAATGTACTACGTAACGAAAAGGGGGCATAGGCGACGACAATGTTGCGGGCGTCAGTGTGTCAGGCGAGACATTTGGCTTTATATCACACATGCATACATACATAGTCGTATGTATGTATATGTAGGAATACATTGTACATGGTACATAGTATGTATTGCTATTGCTTTGGCTTTTGTTTTTATGTTCTTTCTTAGAAAGGGTCTCATAATTTTTGTCATAATTTTGGCAAAGCGCACTTAACGGCAAGTAGCCAAAATTCATTGATATATTTCTTAGTATATATACATATGTACAGATGTATGTATATGTGTATATATGTATATTATATGCATACAATGTATTTGTTCCGCATGACGGACTGAATTAAGCGATCTGTCGACATTCAGCGTCTGTTGCGAGCGCAACTTTTTTTCATTAGATCAATTAAACTTGCTAGACAAAGTACTGCCAACAACTACATACATACATCGTGCGCACGTACATACAGTTGGTAACAAACTACACGCCTGTTGCGAAAAGCACAAATCACAAACTTAACATGTTGAAAATGCTCAAAATACCATTAAAATGTATTTAAATAAATGCTTTACTTTCCGTTTTATTTGACATAAAGCGCATATAATATTGAATATATACAGTACATGCATCTATACATACATACGTAGGAAACAGCTGTTCAGCATCAGTTCTGTGCACTTTGAGTGACGTTTTGCTGACATCAATTCACAGTGGTTCGCCGAATACAGCTGTCTCATTTTTTCTTGTGGAGGAAGTACAGTTTGTCAAATATCTGGCTATTGTTCGAATAAAACTGCATTTACAGCTTTTCTCTTTAGAGTTGCCACACAACACAAAACAAATCAAGTCAAAAGCAACAGTTCTTTTACAACCCCATAAAATGGTTGCTAAAGTTGATTATCTCCCAGTCTTTTATGTTATTTATTTAAAGATACAATTGTTTTGTAGAGTAGAAAAGTGCGATACCAAAGCACTAAGCTTCTGGTATGAAAGCAAAATTATATTTTTGTTTAAAGAATATTCGCGAAACATTGGATTTAAGATCTTTGATTGACAATCGTATCTTAAGGCTATCATGGCTTATTGTCGAAGTTGGTTATATTTTAATTTTGTTTATATTATTATATCAGTTCAATCGAAAGATCAGAGCCTTGAGTAAGTGTATACAAAGTTCGAGGTAAATGGCGTGTATGTATGTATTGAAGGTTGTTTCTTTCTTCCGGACATCAATTCGAACTCCACACTAGACTGTGCCATGCTTTTTGTAATAAAAACAATTTTGTTAAAAAATTACGTCAAATATGATTGAAGGGTATAATATTTGACGTAAAACTATTTTTATTAGAATAAATGAAGTTTAAAGTATGTTTATATTAGTTTTGAGTTATATTGCTGCCTATATAAGCTTTTTTGTTTTTTTTTTTTTCATTGCTTTCGAAATAAAATTGAAGAGTATGCGAAATTCCCCTAGAGTTTATTTATTTATTTATTTTTTTTTATTACGCTGGGAACACGCACGCAAATTTGCAATTAATTTGTACACATATTAAAATGATGTGTAACTATAGGACATAGTGTTTTTAATGACACTAAAATACACACGAGCATATACACACACACACACACATCTATATATAGGCAGACACACCGACAGCTTTTATTGAAAAGTGTGCGTTTGTTTGCTGATAACTACAGCAATTCGTACTCTATCTCTCGCTCTCTATTTACGTTGTACTTTGCAATTACGTAGCGTAAGCATCTGCCTGCATTATGGCACGTAAGCTTTTTTCTGGGTAACGGGATCAAATTCGTAGCTGCGCTAATTTTCGTTTGTAAGAGTCCACTGTCTGTATGCTGTTCTGTTTGTATGTTTTGTTTGTGTGTGTAAGCATGCGTTCGAGCTAAAGCTAATCTTTTCGGCAGCGCATTAAAGCGTCGGCTTTTCTATTGTGGGTGCTATCCATCCATTCTCGTGTGGATTCTCTGTCAACTTTGTCAACTGCTTCGGTTTCTAGTTAATGAGCATCGGCAATTCGCCGAGCACCTCAGGTGTTTCCCCTGGCGCATGGAAGCGCGGCTTGCTTGTCAAGGGGGATTCAGTCGGCCGCTCTGCTCTGTTGCTATTGTCTTTACATAGTTTTGCTAATCTCATTTCCATGCGTTGCTCCGTCGGGCCCTGTCAGCTGTCGCCGCTCTTTTTGATGAATCACAGGCCTGCCAAGCGCACACTGCTAAAAATACTTGCGTACACGCTGAAAATGCAAAATTCATGGCCGCCGGCCCGTGGAATGCGGTGAAGGCGGCTCCAACATCTACGACAAACTGGCAAATGAGCCAAACATTTGCGGAGCGAAAGGCAAAGCGGAATATGTGTTTAGAGAGGTTCAAGCGCCGCTTAGGTTACGCAAAAGTTGCAATCTGTTGCCAGGCGACGCGACGTTCCGTTGCGGTCTGTGACTCAGTAAAGCGTCGCAGATCCACAGTTAGCGGTCAGCAGTTGCGGCGTCAGGTGGCCGGCAGGCGGCATATGTATAGATATAAATCTGTATACATATGTACAGGTTTATATGAGTGTATGAATAGTTTGGGCTATTTGACCAATTCGCCGCACATTAAGCTACGGCCAACCCTTGAATGAGCGGCATACCGTGGGCGGATTTGATTTAAGTGCCGGCAAATGAAACATCAGTATATTACATATCCTTTTTTATAAAAATTATTTTATTATGGAAGATGTACAGGACAAAACTTAGCGCTCATTCACCGACACACGTCTTCCTATATGACAAATCTTTTTCCTGATCAGCGTTCATTTGAAAGTACTTTCATGGGATCTGGAAAAATCCCGATCGACTGTACCCATTGTGGAAAACCAAAGGACAAAAGAGGTTACTCCCATTTATTGAGGAAGATGGCAGGAGGCAAAAAGGATGATTGGAAAAGAATTTAAAAGTTCGACTTTACGTATTGAATGGATTAACCTAGTATCAAATAGTATTTTCACACACTTCCTCTCCACCAAAAATATTTTGTTTCTTCTGGAATAATTCTACTATAGCCAGTTCCGTCATCCGATTCTTCACATATTATTTGTGAAATATCTATATTTTTGCTATTCATTGAAAACTCCACTAATAAAATACAAACAGATACAAATGGTTATACTAATAAATATCAATATCTATTTGAGATAATAGTTGGTTATAATCTTGACATAAAATATTTGCATAATATGCGATAATAAACAATAAAAACAAGATTCAAATGAATACGATGACAATAGAATCATTTTTGCTACCAAAACTGTCATTATAAAGATTTGTCAAGCTTTTTACGAGAGGAATATGAAAAATATACTTTTAGAAAGGTTACTTAATTTCATTATAGGCAGAAAGTAAACAGCGAGGGAAACGAAATTGAACACCTAAATGAAATAGAAATTAAGAAGAAATATTTGGTGAATAATTAAATATATTTTTCAATAATAATATGCATATAAATAATAGCAATATAGCTCAAATAATTTTCATGAAACATATACATTTTTTTTTTCATGATTGGGAACAATTGGCTAATTAAATTGAAAGTTAAACGAAGCATCGCATAAATTTAAATGTGAATACCTCTGCCGTTGTAAGGGGCCTAGACGAAAGCTTCTTAAGACATGGCTTAAATGGGCTCGCCTGCGGATGTCTGTGCATTGCCCTAAGCCTCCAACGGCCAGTTGCCTCCCCTCTCCCAACCACATGCCCCTCTGCTAACCACCTTTGGGGACATGCTATTGCATTCATGTGCAACTAATCGACGTATGCAGGTTTATTGGTTTCGGCTTCGAGACCGAACGACAGAGAGAGATAGAAAGATACATAGAAGGGAGAGGGAGTGAAGAGCAGGGCGAGGGGTTAGGTTGCGGTGCAGTGGCAATTACGTCGCTTTTGCGTTTCGCATTTGATGATGTGGTCAGCCAGGCAGCAGGCAGCAGGCAGCCGGCAGCCGGCAGCTTGCCTATGCGGTTGGAAATGCGCCGTTAGAGACGGACGGACACGTGGCCAGAGCGAAGAGCAGAGGTCTGGAGCGGAGCCGGGCGGGGCGGTGATGGGAGGTCAATTCGAGAACAGCATGTGGTCACCTAGCAAGCATATGTATGTATATGCTGCACTGCACTGAGAGAAAACACCAATAAACAATGTTTTTAATATCAGTAGTAGATTGGGATTTGAGTGGAACAGGAAATCAAGACTCTGATCAGAACAAAATAATGCGAATATATAAACTGTGAATATAAATGTATATAAATGTGTATAAAATGATACGATTTAAGCATAAATATCAACCTAAGATTTCCTCAAATGTTATACTAGATACAAATATTCGTTCAGTGTATTCCTGTAGATTTTATGTCTCGTGCTTTGATTCTAAAGTGGGCAAAATTATAGGAAATCGGGAAATGGTAAGCTTATATGCGATATGGCCGTAAGTTGTGCATGTTTATGTACTAAACGCATTAAACGATGGACAATTATTTATTAAACAAGCAATGAGAAAAGCAAAGGGGCTAAAAAGCGAGAGGGGGACGAGACAAACACAATAAGAGTAAAGCAAACGACAATGTGAACGGATGAAGATGAATGATGATGCAAGATATATGATATAAACATATATATAAATAAATATATATGTATATAAACTTACATTTTATGTGTGTAGAGGTGGCTCGGGTCGAGGGAGCAAGTAATGCGAAACGGAAATGTGAAATAAATTCAACTTCGTCAAGAGAGATTTTTCATTTGACAGACATGATGAATGCATAGACTTGAATTAAAAAAGAGATAATTAATCAATGCAAATTATGACATATGTATACAGTTTTCATAAATCGTAGTATCTGAGCAAAAGCTTTCAAGACCAACAAAATATTTAGGCTTTTAGAACTCTGTAAAGGCAATCATTCAGCACATAGAATTCTATCAGTTATATATTTTAAGTTATATATTTTTAAATGGATGAGGTAATGCAAAAGGTTGATAATATAACAAAATATACTTCTAACTATTTAACAGACAACACCTCTTGTGGACTCCTCACAAAGTGGACATTTAATGCATGAGAAGAAGCCAAAACTTCCAAAAACACAGACATTAAAGAAAAAGCGCTTTATAAAGACTTTGCAAAAGATGAATGATCAAGAGGGTCATCCAGGGAACAATGCTAAGAAGCGGAAATTGGAGAGAAAAAAGTCAAAATGTTTGGTCCATGAAGCACAAGGAGCAAAGCATGGAATGAGGGAAGCGCGGAAGAAGAAGGTAATTAAGGAAAGATTCAATACGGCAACTAGGAAACAGATTTATCGATAGATAAAGTAGAGCGATAAGATCAAAAAGAGTCCTACTTACACTATGAATAAATATAAATATAGTTAGCAAATAGATAGCATGTGGTATGGCGTAGAGGATAGTGATAGATCCATTCTGCAGCAACTTGAGTAACAGAATCTCCTACGGTAGTCACTAAATTTTATTTTTCATAGACTAAAGCAACTCAAACGGAAAACAGAATTGTACTAAATAATGCCGTGTTCCGTTATATTGATGCTATTATCTACTCAAAGATGAAGAAGGCCATGGCACATCCACCCATTTACATTAAGTACGAGGAGCCCCTGGTCCAGTTTGCCAACTACGGCCACGAACCGGTAACCGGACGCCTTTATGCATGGGATGATGTGGCTGACTTGCCCAAGCCCTTCGATCCTTATTGGATGCTGGTGCTGGGGAATATGAGTCCGAACGACGACAATTCGATCTTGAGTTTGAGCCTAGCGAGTGGTATGGATCTCTCTACCATAGCCAATGAAACAGAGCTATATCTGGAGCTCATAGTAAACCATTCAAGTGGACATCGGCGATGCGATTGGATATACGAAATTCTAAGCTATTTAAGTTTATTTGGAATGATTTTTGCAGTCCTTGATCATTTTCACGACATGCTCAATAGGGAGCAGCCTTTATCGATTTTGGAATGGAGTTTTAGCGAATTGGGTAACTTTTTGCGCACATATTTGTATATTGATATGTACAACATAAATTAATAAATATTGTTATTGTTATACAATTTTTGAAGAGTCTCTAACGCTATTATTTTTAAATGATATAGTAGAACGACTTTCTAATATCCGAAATATGCTGGTAACTTCAGAGCATATTTCTTTAACAATCCAATTTATATAGAATTAGTCGAGAGTGATTTATAAACTATCGGATCTTAAACTTTAGATAAAAGAAAATATAAATTTTACTTAATATTTCTTCTGTGTGATAAATTTATAGTTATATCTGGTAAATAGCTACACTTGGTAGGACAGACGGACATGGCTTAAAGGACTCAGCTGATATAATCATGAAAGATCAAGGAAAATTGTATTGTATTGTATGGAGAAATGCTTGGCAGTAACTGGACTTTTCCTTCGGGGCGGTGCTTGGGCCTAAGCCACGCCCCTAGAAAAGTTGTTAAGCCAAAGTTTTTGAAGGAAGTTGTATGTGTGGCAAGGGCTCGGCAGTGCGAAAGGGAGTTGTAATGGGTTTCGGATGGGTCATGAGACATGGGACGGGTTTGTCAGGGAGGGCAGGAGGAACCCAAGAGGGAGGGGAGCAAACGTGGTGCTGTCTACGGCGCCGGCAGCTGGTCGCTGCTATCTGCAGCTGCGATTTATTAACAGTTAGCTGTCGTTGTTATTTTTATATGTAGCTGTTGTTGTTGTTGTTGCATTTCGCAGCTAGCCGTTAAATTTATGGCCTGCAGCCACATGATGAATGATTCTGATAATAATATTTTGTTATTGCCTTTGCCTAGGGCTCCATTTTTATACCCTCCACAAACATATATACAAATATCTTGCCTCTTTTCTGCTGTTGCAGCAAGTTTTGGCTGCGTTTAATGGGGAACTAAAAACAACCCGCGAATAACAAATTAAAATAAAAGATTTTATATATTTTCAAGTCAACTTGGAGCCAGCCGTGTCTCAAGCCCTAAGGGGCATCCATTGCCACCAGTTTCTGCCTCCTGCTGTGCGCTGCACAAAAATCGCAAGCTGCGAGACCGAGCGAAGCGCAAAAGCATCCAGCCAAACTAATAAACCAAAAGGCTGCCACAAGAAATTTGGCAGTAAACTTTTCGGTTTTTAGTAGCCAACTCGCAGAAACACTCGCCATAAATGTAATTATAGATTCCATCCCAAATATATTCACAGTTCCCCACTGCGACAGAGGGCTTTAAGGGGCGAATTAGCTAAATTCTAAACTGCACTTCAGTCGACTTTTTAAACTAAATAGGATTTGTTATTTACATAATATACTTAACTCATTATCATTATTATTCATTATCTTTATTTACAACTAAAAGCCATCTGCATAGGTAATACACCCACAGCAATGCGAATCTTTAATGAAAATCTGAATAATGTGCCTTCAGGGTCGATTAGTGAGTTGAGTGAGTAGGTTGAGTTCAAGAATCGCTAGTGGTTAAGTGGACTATATTATATGGAAAGAGGGCTGATGGATACCCCACGAGTGAGCATGTGTGTGTGTGTGTAGGTGTGTGTGGGAGTGAGTGTGAGATCGGAGCTCATTGCATATGCAAATTGTAGACGATTGGTTTCGCATTACATAATTAATAATTCAATGAAAATGTGCATGCCAATCAAGCGCATGCAAGAACCCAGCCGTTGCAATTTAGATATATACACTCTCCTATATATACATATGTATGTATAATATATGTATATAATGTATTGGTTAACGCTTTGATGGACAGCTATATTCTGATTACAGCGAAATTTTGAAAGATTTTATCAAGAAACCAACCAGCTTCAATTTTCATTTGAAATATGATTCCAAAGACTACGGTAAGATCGAAGGGTCAACGATCGAATAAACAATCATATATAGCTCAAATAAAATGAATCTCCTCCAGCAGTAAAAGAAGTTGAGATTCGCAAAAGAATTAATAAAATAAAATTCCGGGATTATACCTTGGCCTAACTTGCAAATAATTATTTTTACATTTAACCAATTATTATCCAGCTATAATACGGCCTTCGAAAGATGCTAATTTCAATCTGAAGAATTTCCAAGATAATATATAATAGTATAATAATATATATAGTATAATGTGGAATTCTAAGAAATTTAAGAAAAACAATAATTGAAAGCTAAGTCGATAAGTTAATATTATATATTGCAGCTAAATATAATATGAAAATAGTGCTATAATTTACGATTGATTTTCACTCTGATACTATATTTTTCACTTAAGTCACACAGTATATTTAGAGTTATATACTCCTTTAAACTGCCTACAGGGTATGCGCTAGTTGGTCATTTCACTATTGATCAGACATATGGCGTATATGGGGACTGCGAGCTCTCTAATTATAGCTAGTTAGTCGACATTCTCGATAGAGCCTATTTGCTCGAATCAATAAATTTCACAGTTGGATACACAGGTGGCGCTTGGCTCTGAAGAGGGGGTGGGTGGCAGGCCAGTGGTGCTACGGTGCAGACATAGCAATTTGGCAGCCAGCGAGCTAAATGGGCCTTTTGTTATAGCTGCGTGTGGGTGTATACGTATGTGTGTGTGTGTATGTGTGGGTGTGCACTCAACATAAATTCATAAATGTTTGCTGCTCTCTGGAGTGGGCTGCCACTACCTTTTAGCCCAGCAGCAGCTGCACCTGACTGCAACCCCTTTTTTGTCAGTGCACAGTGGTCAGAAATCATAAGAAAATCATGCTAATTTTATTTCATCTAATTATATGATCTCTATAGAAGACTTTTATGCAAACGGCTTAATAGACATTTAGCATATTCAGAATTTTTGATGATTGATTTAGTAGTAAATGCTACAAGATCACAGTTTACACATTTTCAAACTTTGGCTACAGATCCGTGAAAATATATCGATTTATTTTCGCTGACTAAGGACGTAGTTGATTTCAAATTGCATTAAAAAGTCTGACATAAAACTTATATTTTTTATATTATATTCTTAATACTGTTTTCCCCACTACTAATATACTTCATATGGTCAGCAGTCAGCTAATTGTGTCGACTTAAATTCATGATATTGACTTTATATTCCATCATTCAAGATCTTTTTATTTCATTCTTAAATTTTATTTTATTATATTTTTATACTCTTGCCCACTGTGCGGGTTACACCGTGGGATATATTTAAGCAAGTAGTATTGCTTTTTATTGGACGTCAAGCAAACGCAAATGTTGTTAAAGATATATATGTACATATAT